TAGAGGGCTTGCATGGGGCAGCTGCCACCCTGGTTTGGTGTCAAATGTATTATTTTAATTTAGATTAATTTGAAAAATTGTGTCTAATGTTTTAAAAATAGAATTTAACAGATATAATTTAATGATCTGTTATGGCCACATTTAAGACTAAGTTAAGACTGAGCTAAAAGGTCCAGTGTGTAGGATCTAGTGGCATCTAGCAGTGTAGTTGCAGATTGTAACTCCCTTGCTTCACTCTCCCATTCCAAGCGCATATGAGAAACTATGGTGGCCACAAAAAACGCCCTATCTAGAACCAACGTTTAGTTTGTCTGTTCTGAACATGGCGGTTCAATATGGCAGACTCCATAGAAGGCAACCCTCAGGACTCTATAGATAAAAACAGCTCATTCTAAGTTAACAAAAACACAATGATTCTTTTCCATTTCTGCCAATAGATCCTCCTAAATGTTACATACTGGACCTTTAATTTACTATTTTGATCCCAATTATAGATACATAATTTTATTTGATCATTGAAACCTGAATATTAAAAACTAGTCCAAGATGCTCATCTGTATTTGTCAAATTATTCCGGGCTACTTGTGTCACATGAGCTTTTAGTCAAACATTTTAAGCATTGCAATTAGATTTCAGATTACAGCCACTATGACAAATCACTTTATTTACAGCCTTGCTTTGCTTTCTTTCCTTCACAGGTTGCATAAACACACAGCATAGTGTTGTCTCAGGTTAAATATTGAACCGACCTGACTACATGTCCTTAAACAACTAAAACACATGAAGTCCTGTTTATTTAGTTTTTTGCTATAAAATGTTTCTGCTGAAACTGGTTATTAACTAGGAAAGACCTCACACAAACAATATTTTACATTTTACATACAAAATTGCTCCATGCTGCATTCTCAAAGGGTTTCTATTGATGTAAACTATGGGTTCTTACCTGTGCTTTGTGCAGCCCTAACCAGCCCATTTCTCAGGACATCTCTCACCCATGTTTTGATCTTCTCATGGCCTTCGCCCCCCACCACAGACACCACCAAGTTGGGTAAGGGCAGGCCCCAGTGAGCTGTCATCAGGGTGTAGATGATCTGAGGTGATGTGTCACATGACAGCCGCAGAAACTAGGCGGGACAAAGAGAGGATTGCAGTGTCTGACAGATAACCAGAAAGAGGAATACATAAATCAATAATAAATATGATTATTATTTTCTGGTTGTTTCATATCAATTTAAACTACCTCTTCAAATACGATTAAAATAAAAAGACAATTGTATTTTAGAAAATGAACAAGAGCAGGTTTTAGGCCTTCATTTGGTGGTTGGCTGTGAACAACGAAGATGACATAAAATCATAATATAACAATGTATAGAAACTGCACTGTAAGTTAAGTTGTTAAGTATGATGGTAGTAATGGAAATATTTTCAGAATATTGCACTTTCTTGTAGTACTTCTACATTGAGGTGGCCCTCCTACAAGATGACATTAGCCTACCAGCAGTGGCCCCAAGCCAGTTTGAGTTTTAGACCCCTGCTTCAAAGGGTGTGTTTGCCATCCTGGACTCATTTTTACATTGTTTGTTGGGTGACCTGAGGGTTCAATTAATCAATCTCAAGGCAGAACTACTCGACCAAATGGTACGCTGGTACATCTATGACCGTGTGTGTATGTGTGTTCAGCACTGCCACTCACATGGCTGTGTTTGCTTCCAGCACCGGCAAACTCCAGCTCTCCAAAGGCGTCGGTGGGACACTCTGAAGAGTGCTGCCTGCTGTCCCACTGTGTGACAATAGCTGCTCCAAAGAAGTCCCCTGTTGCCACAGAGTCATGCAGCTCCCGCACACCACCACACTGACACAACGCTCCATTACTGACACACAAACCAACAAAGCTATTATTCTGTGGTTTATGAGCCATTTCAAAGACTTCAAGATTTTTATTTATTTAATTTTTTGTTTATGGTATATTATATATACAGTTATTATTATACTTATAAGTTATTTACTGGTACAACTCTATCTCTCTAAGTCAAGTCAAATATAAAACAGAGTATGGGGCACTGCCGCAATATCCACATTCTCCTTCAGTCTAGACTCTAGTCTTCAGGGCGACTACAGCAGAGTTTTGTTGCAAGGTTGGAGGTTGAGTGCAGGAACATATTCACACAAAAGCTCACAGTTGTTTAGGGGTAGTCCTCCAAAGGAGTGTTTTAAAAATAATGACTTAAACCTTAAGGCCAATTCTAAAAACTCTTGTCTGTTCCAGTTATTAGTCTGGCTGTTCTGTATAACTGCTGCTCAGGCGGGTAAAGAGAGAGTAAATTAATAAAATGAAAAATAGGTCCTAAATGTTCGGCATATGCTTAATGGAGGCGGCCAGGTCATTAAACTCTTCATTATATAAAATAATCCAATGTTCAGGTCATATTTTGTTGCATTATAGACATGTCAGAGAAGGAGAGGTTACCTGAAAGAGTCTTCAACAAAAGTGCTGCACACTCGCTTCTTGATGATCTTGGGAATCCAGCTCTGTGAGAAGGAAAACAGTTTGTCAGAATCACAAGTACAAAGAAATATGAGAACAATACCTTGGACCAAGCACAATGATTCAAGTGGGTGAAGTGAAACAAGCGCAAACTGGATACTACCAGGAAGTAGCAGGGTCCCGTTTCAGGGCTAATAAATCATGTGGTATTGGATCAGTGCATAGACACACATATTCGCCAATACCCGATACCACCTTTTAAATAGCATCAGAGGAATTTCATAACAATTCTAGTAGTGAAACCATCTATGATGTATCGATTTGAGGCTAACATTTGCTAAATAAACCCTCAAAAAGGCAAACCTGTCTCCATCACGGTAGTGTACAAACTGCTTGAAGAACTGCTTGCAGAGTTTTAAACAGCAGGCTTGCAGCAAGTGTTACGTCACCAGTTTTGTACTACTGACTATATTGATATGTAACTGACACTCTCTGTTTGCTCCTGGGTCTGAGGTCTTTTTTCCTGGATGCCCTACTTTCTGCATTGTGTTTTGTTGGGGCATCTTGTAGTGAGAAGACTAGTACTTTTACTGAGAAACCAAGATACACCCTGCGTAGCATTCAAGCCCTAGAATTGGCCAGGTGCTCATGCTCGCATAAGAGGTTTTCTGCCAGAAAGGCTTTTTAACATTGTGAAAGTGTCTATTTTATCCCACAAGGATGCTACTAAGTGGTTTTGTTGCCTAAACCTAACCAAAGTGCGACTGAAAACAGAAGATAATTTACAAGGAAACAGAGATTATAAATCAACAAGTACACAGGAATTGAAGCTCACTCTCCCAGGTGCAAGGCCTAATCCATTCATCCATCTCTAATTTCTTCATTGAACTCTAGTGCTATTTATACTGTCAATACTAGCACATGCATGCTACACAGGGCGTGTCTTTGCAATAAAAGCAGTGCAAGTCATAATTATGCATAAAACTCACATATCCATTCGCACATGTAAGTCAGTATCACATTTCTCCCCCTAAAATGTTATTTTAGCTCTTTTATATGTTGCATACTGATTTGTGTGACTGAGTCTCATACATAGTCAAGACATCTGTCGGGTGAATCAGGTTTTTCACTAACCCTGCCAAAATCTATAAAGTTAATCAGCCTTTTCTGAGACAAACACTACCAACTAACCTAACTGGCCTCCACTGTTGCTGGATTTGGAATGGATTTCACAGCTAGCATGGAGAGGAGGAACAACAATAACTCCATCAATGTACATATAAGCATGTGATCGATGTATTGAGATCAGAGGTGGCAGAAGTACACACATTATTTACTTAAGTAAGAGATATTTGTGTAAAAAAGACTGGTAAAAGTAGAAGTACTGATTCAACTTGCTTACTCAAGTAAAAGTAAAGAAGTACAGGCTCTTAAATGTGATTAAAGTATAAAAGTAAAAAGTACTCTCTTGGTCACTCTGAATTTCTACCAGCTGTACATTTGTCATGCATGACATGAACTAGTCTTGATGTTGGGAAAGCGTGCGATGATGCAAAACACGATAATAATTGATAATCATCCTCAAATGCATTAAAACAAAAATAACCAGCCTGTCTTGAAAATGTAAGGAGTAGAAAGTACAGATATTTGCGTAAAAATCAAAAAAGTTGTCCAAAAAAAGAGAGACCTGAAAGAACTATTTAATACAACAAAATATTTATATTTTGTTACTGCCCACATCTGATCTGTCCTTTAATATCAGGCTTAATGTTTAGAAGATTCAGAAATCTCTAGATCTGTCTCCTTGGAATTTCATGGGAAGCTGAGTGGGGGAATGGAGGAATGCACGGTAAGATTCTGAGATCAAACAGAAAGAATTAAGGTGGCAGGAAACAGAGAGAGGCAGGCAGGAAAAGGAGGCAGGTGTGGAAGTTGTGTGGAAAAAATGGACAGAGGTGAAATGAAGCAGACACAAGATGAAAGCCAAGCACAGAATTAGAGAAATGTCAGGAATGAGCAAAGAAGGATTCAAGTTGAGGCATGATTGCAGAGATCCAAAGGGGAGGGAAACTACCAGTTAGGCTCTGTGAAACTAGTTTTTAAACTATGTGTTTCACTATTGCACACTACCGTGAACTTTCCGTCACATTACTCTTTAAGACAATCTGTGAGATCATTGAGCAGGGACTGGTTCAACCTGTCTGCCTATTGACAATCAGGCTGTTTGCATTCAAGAGGGAGTTCTGTACTCTCTCTCTCCTATTGGTCTTAGCTCAGCTGATGTTGCATTGTAGGATTTATTAGATGGTGCTGCGCTTTACAGATTTTTTCCGCATTCTCTCCAGTGTGCTTAATTTTCGATCAGTATGTGGCTGCACTGTCCTTTGTCTGTCCAATAGCATGGGAAAAACACTGATTTTTAAGGTGGAACTGTTTTATTCAGTGTTTTTAGCAGTTTTAACCTTGTTTTGGAAAAGAGGAGACCTCTGTGGATAACTGGGCTCCCAGTAGAAACCTCCTGAATGAAGAAATCCTAACCAGGAGAAGCTGACTACAATGACGGCAGTGGTGGTGAAGACGACAACTCCCATGATCCCACAACATTATCACATTACATACTGTGCATTTAACTTTGATGATTTCAGTCTGAATAAACACCCAGGTTTTCAGTCACAAACAGCAGTCTGTCCCACACACCACAAGACTAAATTGAACGTCACCAGTTTAACCTAAAGGCTGAGACAGCACAAGGTGCAATACACGGTATGTGTGTGAGCAGCAGACATAGGTGTTTTATTTGGTATAATGCTTACAATGATTGGTTAAAATCCAACATTATGCCTATTTCCTCTCTACGTTTAAAACTGAAGAGTGCTCTGTGATCCTATTGGTCACCTAACAAGTAACACAAGTTGTCAAATTAGGTGAGAGAAGGCCAAACATTCCGACAAATTAGTGTTTTTGTCTGGACGTCATGAGTTCCCAGATGCTGTGTCATGGTGGACATCTTGCATCAATACTGCAGATCATAGATTATATTTGTTACCCGGATCGGTATAACCCATCTATTATATCTAAACTGCTTCTTCTGTATGCATATATGAACAGAAACATTTGGTCCACATCACACTTTCAACAGAGCTTATTGGGGGTCTAAGCAGCGAACCTCGCTCAAAATCCCTCTCATAACTTTAATCTCTCAATTCATCTGTATCTTTGCTCCAATGGTCTTCTGCTCTAAAAAGTGTACATTTTGTGTCATTTTTTAAATTTTCTCAGTATCCTATTTTTGACAACTTGTCAGAAATCAATCTTTGTCAGGATCATCTGTAGACATCACGGATCTGAGGTGATCAAGGAAATTACAATTAATCTGTTTTGAAATTAAATTTAAAAAGTAACAAAAAACTTGCTACACAGTATTCTGCCTCTAGGGGTCAACACAAATGCAAGTGAAATGTTTATATCATGTAATTGGCTACACGGATTTGTACAAAATTTCGGTTTACAAGACTTAGGGTCATGACTCAAGTCGAAATTTAGTACTGATTGATTAAAAGGACCAGTGAGTAGGTTTAGTGACATCTAGTGATGTACTTGCAGATTGCAGCTCCCTCGCTTCCCTGCCCTTCCATGCGCAAAGGAAAAACATTTGCATTTGTGTTTTTTGTGCATTTATTGTTTGGTTTGTCCATTCTGGGCTACTGTAGAAACATGGTGGTTCAACGAGGCACACTCCATGGGACTGACTCATTCTAAGGTAACAAGAACAATTCTTATTTTCAGGTGATTATACACTAATAAAAACATACCTATTAATATTGTATTCCATTTCTACCAAAAGATCCTCCTAAATGTTACAATGTTACACACTGGACCATGGTTTTTACAGCAAACCAAATCTACCTGTGGGTAATAAAGTAACCAAGACATTTCACACGACAAACAAAAGTTTGCCTCACCGCAAATGTTACTCCTCACTTAAAGGAACCATTCAGGGGATCTCTCTCTCACCTTCTATGCTCTCTCTATCACTCCTTGTTTCCTTAACCTGTGTGCATTAACAGAAAGTGTACTACCCACTGTTAAAGTGAAACTCTGCCCACATTCAACAGATTAAACCAACATTTGATAAACATTTCATCTGAATTACAGAGGAGAACATTCTGGCTCCTTTGTGAAGACACCCTGTTCCATTTGTTATGATGAAAACAGCATTTAAAGGAGAGCCCAGCTGGGAGTAATAATCCCTGCACATACCACAAACTACACACAGGAAACTTGACGGGCATTTCAAGATATGTAGACTGACCTGTTGAGTTTACTGACTTCCAGAGAAATATTCCATAATAATTACACACAAGGATAAACTGCTAACTGTATATGTACTGTATATAGTATACTTACTTTTCATTTATTTCTCCATATTTCTCCAATGCAACTGCTGAATGTTATTAATATTATCATTAGCTGATAGCCCAGTATTAATCTCTGTAGTATTATAATACGTCATATGTGGCAGTAAAGTCATCACACAGATGTTGTCTCTGATGTATTCAAATCTAAAAGAGACTGTTATTAAAGTTTGGGTTTGACAAAAAAACATAGGCCTTTTCACCAACAGGGAACGGGCCCCGTTCCAGTTCAAGCATCTAGTTTTGAAAAGTTTGGAACATTTAGATCAAAAACAAATCAGTCTGAAACCTTAAGAAAGTTGGTTCCCAGCTGGAACCAAAAAAATTCAGGTTTTCCTTGGGATCCAAAGTGGGTGTCTCATATTCTACAGGTCATTGTGCATTGTGCAGCACGCTCTGTTGATGACACATCCGATTACTCAAAATTGGAGGAAATGTGGGCTGGTTTGCTAGATAGCACCAAGGTTCAAAGAATCTTGAACGAAACCAGTTAAAGAACCAGAACTAACTTGGAGGAAAAGGGGCCACAGAGTCTCCCTTCTGGTTCCATTGTCTCTTCTTACCACCATCCAACACCATCCACCTTCAAACTCCTCCATACATCTGTCAACGACCCTGATATCTCCCCTCATCCATTCATCTCTCACCCTTCACCCTCACCCTCAACCCCATCCCTTCATCGCTTATCAATCCTACAACACATTATCCTGGTTCACCTTCACGCAAAAAACACATTTCTTTTCACTTTAAATAATTCAATTATTTTATGTGTGATTTTGCATGCGCCTCACATATATAGGCGATATAGGCTATATCAATATCATATACTGTAATATTTGTATTAATATTGTGACCATTATTTTAACATGTCACCCAGCCCAATCATATTCCTGAAAATAAATCCTGTGTATAAATACATTCATTGTATAGTTATTCTCAATACCCATCACTGAAGCACGTTCCTATACAAATATAAGGCATCAATACACAGTATATACCTGATCAACAGTGTATTATGACTATCATTTAGGGCTGCACAATATGGTAAAAAAAAATACACATTGCAATTATTTTGACAGATATTTTGATTATGATATAATTCACAATTAATGGGAATTATAATTTTTTTATGACGATTTTCATGATTATTTGTTGGGGTGTGTACCAAAGAAACATGTTTTCTTACATCTGGAGAAGATGTGTATACCAGGGCCTATCTGCAGCACCTAGGTACTTCATTATAATGCTGCTTGTCACATTTTACCCTTATTAAAAAATTGCAGCTTCTGCAATTTGGATATTGCACTTGGTCATATTTCAGTAAAACTTATTAAATTAATTCAATTGATGACTTTAAGGAAACAACTGGGGCAAAGTAAAGGCTTTGTGTTACATTGACATAAGTCATTTGTCACATTTGTTGATGTTAACAAAGTGTGGGCTTAGCTACCTAAGCTAAGGTAACTTGCTGTGTGCTTACACTGCCACTGGGAACATCCCCATGCGCTCACAAAGCCTACAGAAGATAACTAGTGACTGTGTCATGACATATGACTACAGCTCATTTTGGTTATTGTTGTCTGCAGTCATTTAAAAAAATATTTTTTATATAATTTATATTCTTTTGGACAGAAATACATCTACAATACAACTACAGGAACGGTGTTTCAGTGGAAAATGGCCACTAGAGGGCCACAAAATTTGCAAAAAAGAATGTAAAGTGGAGAAAAGTGAACGTTCTTGTACGCAATAAGCAGTGGAACAGCTGCAATCAGAATATCAACACTTTCGGTTAGCGGCTTGAAGATAATTGATTGTTGAGTCTTTTAAAGCATAGATATTTTACAAACTGGAAATGAGACTCAACAATCTAGTATCTCCCTTGGCTCTGATTGGTTGTTATTGTTGAGGCATGGTGGATTCTTGCAAATGCCATTAGCAGTACTAGGAGCTAAGAACCTATTTTTCACAGATTATCTGGCTCATGTTCTACTGTCAGGATATAGTGAAAGTTTCAGTAAATATGACCTATATACCTACTGCAGCTTTAACTGAGAGTTTGTGAATTAGTCCTGCCTATAGGCTGCTTCTTTACTCTCTGTTTCCACAACAACAAACATAACAGGGCACTGTCAGGATGGGACTTTTAAGTCTGCTGTCCCCAAACCTGTTATGAAAGTAAAATACAGGCTTATTGTTTTGCTTCTTTCAGCAAACATTACAATGTAATCACCCATACACAAACCTTTATCAACAATATAAAACGTGAGTGTATGTTATTTATTAATTCACTAGACTTGATAGTCGATTTGAGAGTAATGACAGGTTCTAATATTGCGTTTTGAATTGACTGTTTTTGCCTTATATTTTTAGGCTACTACTTAAAAAGGGAGTGGTAAATGATTTGGAGTGCATGTGTTTTTCATTTGAGTGAGAGATAAGTTTAAGTCAGATAAAAAAAGAAACGTGGTTGCTTCAGCCAGTCTCACTTCATACCAGCACTGTCAGCCTGAGGCATTTCACCCTTACAAGTCTTAACTGGCACAGCAGCATAACCATTTTTATAGCCAAATACAACTTCCATCTGCTCTCACTTTCACGGTCTGTACCCAGCTGAGAGCCACAGCTGTATGTAGGCTATCAACCAAAGAGCAACGGATCAACGTTCAACAGGCAGCACCGTTCATTCCTGCGCACACATACCTGATCCTTTTCTTTCTTACTTCCAGCTTTTCCACCTCCTCCGTCCCGGTCTCTCTCCAGCTCCTTCATCCTGCGTGCAGACGGGTAGTCTGATCACAGAGATCCGCGTCAGCTGTGCATCCTGCGGCTCCTCCCACAGCCTCCTATCCGCTCGGCCCACAAAGTGCCGGCTGCAGTCAGCCAGCCTCTCTCAGTGTACTCCCCAACTGTACAGACTCACACATTTAGATATGAGCAGTGTTGGGCTAGTTACTCAAAATGTTTTATTTATTATTCATTGCTATTTACAAACGTAATATTCTCACTTAACTTAAGTAAGATAAGATATTCCTATATTGATCCCCCCTAGGATAAATTCAAGTTAGACACGGCAGCATAGGGGAATGTAGTGCAACAATGTAAAGTACAATAAAGAATCACGCAAAATTAAGAAAGAATTATAAATATATTTTATTATTTTTTATTATCTACTGGGGGTATCTATTGCATACGGTCAAGCTCTGCCACTTTTGGATTTTGTGCAAATTTCCTTGACTTTTCGACATGCTGCAGCCTTCAAAATATGCGGTCGAAGCGCTCAGAAAAATTAATAGATAATGAAATAGTTATTAATAAGATGAGTAGGTATATAATAGCATAATTATATTAATTCCTTCATATTTACCAAAGGTGGTGCCTGTGCATGCTGGTCCAATGCTTCTCTGAGTTCTATGGTGTTCCCGGTTTCGCCTCGATTGTATAAGGTTGAAAATAATATTCAACGAATATGCATATGCAGTAAAATGGAGGTGTAAAAATATTTAAACACTGTACATGTTGCAATGAAGGAATAAATAGTTTAGTGCGTCATAGGTTGAACTTAAACCAGTCTTTGTTCTGCGCGGTGGTGGAGTGGACTGGGAAGCTGTTTTGCTGTTGGTGGGTCGTACTGATGGCGATAGGTTTTCAAAATGAGCTCCAAACCGCTTTCGGAGGCCTCAGGGCTGGGTCGAAGTGCGGTGTATGCTGTAGATGCTTGCTGTAGCTGCCTCGAGTCTCGAGGAGTTAGATTGTGGTATGACAGGGGTTTAAGTCGTGTTGATATAATGGCTTCAGCTTCCCTCTATATACCTCTTCTCAGTCACAGTCTCCACACTGTCCACTCCATCCCCACCACCGAGCTGGCCTTCCTCCCAGGCATTTTCTAAGCTTATTGGCCACTCATTAGCTGATGCCTCCCCCACTATTAAGCAGATAATCGCTACCGCAAATGGATATATATGTAGGTACGACTGGCAGTCTTATCGAGGCTGGATGAACATCTCCGTAGTAGCTTGAGAGTGCACACGTTGAATGACCTGGGAGCCCCTCAGAGATAGAACGAGCCTTGCTCATGACGGTTTTCCTGCTAGAGGGCCCCTTGTGTAGTGATCCGTCCAGTCCAGTTATTGTTGCAGTTTAATGGAGTTCTACTATCTCTCCTCTCGCCCTCCTCTATCGGCAGCTGGGGAGGTGGTCTTCCTCTTGCTGCACCCACGCCGAAAGTCGCCTCATTTTCGTAATGGTAACAGTAATTAGTTATATATTGCATGACCTGGTTAGATGTATGCATTTTCTGTGATTTTCTGGTCTCCCCACAATTGGGTAATGTGTTGCGCCTTTTTCACTCCTCCGAAGAGTCGTGTGTACTTAGATAATCCTCATGTTTTTTTTGTCATTAGAATAGCGATTATTCAGGTAATGGAAATATTTTTCCAGCTGCTGAATGTTAAACTTTTTGGATCTTCCGAACTTTAGTTTTGCTGCTCCACGATTACAAAAATGAATCCAAGGATTCTGAGTTGTATGATTGGATTTTAAATAACCAGTAACTTTCTTTTGCGGGGTTGACTGTAATGATTATTTCTAAGAATGATAAATGATAAAGATGGACGAAGTCTTATATGATGGGGCTCAGTTTCTTAGTAGTTTATGCGCTTTATCGGACCGGTAATGCAGATGTAGTAGGAAGACGTGGAGAGATGCACCTGGTACAGAGGTGTCACACTACCCCCTTCACACACGCTATCACAGTCTGGATGGCATTGGCTGCCATGCAATTGGGGATCG